ACAGTTGTTTGTTTTACAGGGATTGTTTGGACTGTTTAATATTCCTATCAAAGGATGCATTATTTGTTGAACAGTCCCAAAAGCAAATCAAAGAGAAACTTGAAGAATGTTGCTAATCCTTTGTCACTCTAAGGATGACATCTAAAAGCCAGTGAAAAGCTGTGCTTTGCCAATTGAAACAAAAAGTCACAGAATCATATTCTCATTTACACTGGGAGAGACCCCTAAGATCATTGAGTCCAACCACTAACACAGCACTGCCAAGCCCAACTCCCAAATCAACACCCAGCACACAACTACATCCCCAGGTGTCACATCCACACCCCTGAGGGACAACATTAGCTTTTCCATGACCTTGGCTGCTTGATCTCAGCCCAGCTGTGTCTTTGAGCCATGACACAGCTACAGGAACATTACAGCACTGAAGGTGAGTGTGCTTGTTTCAGCAGAGAAGCAGTTTGCCCCAGTCTGTGGCTACCAGCCACTTTTGTGGGATGGGTCAGGGCTTTGAAGGCTGCAGGAACTTGGAGATGCTCCCATGGGCAGCATTATTTCCACAGCAGCAAGTTTCAGGAGGGACAGTGAGAGTCAAAGTTTCAAGTAATACAGTCAGCAGTGTTTGATCAGTTAATGAATGCTCATGATTCCAGGGGACTGCATTTCACCACCCCAAAATCCTCTTCTGGCCTGTTATCCCCCTGAGACTAATTGGCTCTACTCTATTAAAGACTTGAACTGCAAACTTCATCTACTGGAAGAAAAATCATGTGGCTCTTTCTAATCCTGTACTGTGACTTGCAAAATCAGAAGAAAAGAAAGAAGATGTTAAAAATATCAAGTAAAATCTTAAGTTGGAACAGAACTGGCTTTTATGTGTTCAGTCAAAACTGAGTTCACTAGATACAGTAGTATTTCTTTGAATGGAACAAATAAGCCTCAAAGATTTTATAATGAATACCCCTTGCACACATTTGTACAATGCAGTCTATAAAAATGGGAATGAGAGATGTCATTCCTAAACACAGACCACAAGACACTTTTCTCTCAACTCCAATAACAAGGTATAATTTTCTATCTGATCCTATTTGGCTTTTCCATAAGGAACTGTAAAAACCTCTTTCAAAATCCTGGCACCAGTGTGTGCAATAGGAATCCTAACGCTGGCTCTGCTGGAGCAGAATTTCCCTCTTCAAGAATAAAGCCTTGGGAGGAAAAAAAATGGTGTGTTGGTTTTGTGGCTGAGCCAGCTATTTAACTCCACAAGCCAGCAGAAACAAAGGGAAACCAAATAAAACTACAAAGCTACAAATGCTCCTTTTGGACAAGTGAGGCAAAAATCTTTTGACATTTATGGCTCTACCCATCCCTATCTGATAAGTCATACAGAAAGCTGCAACTGCAGATATCAGCAGTCATGGAAATAAATTTTATTATGTTGTATGTACAGTACTAGTACAGTTAGATACACTAATCATGGGAGGAGGGGAGGTTGCTATTTTTTTCCTGTCCCATATGGTAATAATTTTGTATGATTGAACTGTTAGGAGCTAAATAAAAGTACACATTAACTGTAAGATACATTGCAAATACATTAAATCTTCCCTGGAGTTTTAGCAAATACGTGCTTTTTCTATCATGCATTTGGAATTATTATTACTGGGCCATAGGATTTATAAATAGATTTGGCTTCTTCTGCAATACTTTATGGGCAATTATTTCAGAAATGAAGATGCAGAGCCATGGATAAATAAAATAATTGCAGCTGATCAGGCTTTATTTACTGCTATCACATTTCCCTGACTGCTACACTTCCCTCATTTGCTCCACTAGCCTGAATCAATGACCAGCAGATGAAGAGCTGTCAGTTAATGTCAGACACAGAGCACAAAAGATGCCAAAGGCTGATTCTCATCTCCCCATTTCCAGATTCTGCCTGGGCTCTTCCGGAGCTGGCTTGCTCCGTGGATAAATTCAGAGTGGAATTGGGAGGCTGGGAAAGGGCAGAGGAGCTCTGCAGTGTGTTCAGCAGTTTTCCAGGGAGCACATTTTGCTGTGGCTGCCCTGTGGAAGGCACTGCCAAAGGTCTGGAGGGCTCCCCTCCTGTGAGCAGATGCCCAGCTCTGTCAGGGAAGGGCTGGCATGGTCTCTGCTATCTGCTGCAGTGCCACTCCAACAGGTATTAATTCACTTTGGAAGGCACTGAGTGCAGCTTTGTGTGGCAAAAACAGCTTTCCAGGCAATTCCAGCAAACCAAATCCAAGCAGAGCCTGGGACTGGCCTCATGTCTACAGAATAGCCTCCATGTACCTCACAGCATCAGCTTTCAGTATTTGAGATCTCAGACAGGATGGGAAACTCTGGATTATCAATATTCCTTGGGATCAGGCTTGAAATCCCACACTCAGCCCTACCTAATAATTGTGTTACCTGGGGTTCAGGAAGGAGGTTGCTTGTCTGAAGAGGCTTATGAAGTCATGAGGAAAAAAAAGTGTAATTTCTGCTGCTTTGAAAATCCATGGAGCTGATAACACAGAAACAAGTGAAATGTAGGGATGCACCAGGTGGAGACAAACGGAGTGCCCACCAATGGGTTCCTTCAATGAGCTCATCTCAGGAGTAGCCACCAGGATGACATTTTATGGCTCTCAAATTAAACTATTTAGAAAAAAATTGCCTGCCAGCCCTGATGAGCAGAAATGTCTCTGAGCTACCTACAGCCTCCTGTCCTGGGAAGGAACATCCAGCTTTGTGAAGTCTGGATAAAAAGGATACCCTATAGAAAAGGGGAAGCACAAGAAGCACACACAAGAAACATCATGGAAAAATGTGGAGGGTCTTAGGAAGATCCTACAAGCATAAGTCTCATAGATTTAAAGCCTTTTATTTTTTTTTTTTTAAATTTCATTCTAGGCTGCTTATTTCTGCACAACGAAATGATGCTGCAAACCTCTCCAAGAACTTCATCAACCACAGTCCATAAGGTGGAGAAAGAGGCCAGGGGGACCAGATGCCAAAGGAGCTGTGAAGATTTATGCCAGCTGAGCATCTGGCTCCCTGTTCCCTGTTATCAGAGTGAAGACAAATGCCTGCAAACACCCTCATTCCAAACCACTAATGCACTCAGCCCCACTCAGCACAATTGCAGCAGTGCTGCTCCTGGAAGGTGTGCTGCCTGGAAAAGCAGCTGCTGAATGCTCCTTCCAGGGGTTTATGCAGTGCAGAGAGCAGTGAGAAAAGAGGGGGTTGCTGCCCCTCAAATCAAGCCAAGGGAATGAATAAGACATCATCATTTTCTGGTTTTGTTCTAGTGGGTGGTAGTAATTGCTTCTCCACAGGAACATGGCTACACCTCTGTTGTCATCCATCACCTTGCTGGGGCTGTGCAGTGTGCAGTATTTTGATTTGACCTCATTAGCACTCCCAGAATCACAATGTCACAGCAATGACAAAGGCTGAGATTATCTGCATCTGAGGAGATGCACACAAGGATCATAGCACACACTGTGAAAAGCCAACAGTGCAACCACGACTCTGCCAAATACTCAAAGGCAGCCTGAATAATCCCCCTGGCTCTTGATTTTGCATGTGGGACAAGTCGTGATTAGGAATTGTGCCTATATGCATCAAACCTGCAGATAAAGGGGATGGGCTCATGCCCTGGTGATCTAAAAACTCAGGGAGAGCACAAGGAGAGGAAGGGCAGGTGCTGGAGCAGATGCTCTCTGCTACCACCTTCCCTCTGCGCTGCCAGTATCATCTGTGCTTCCTCCAGCCTCTCCCAGGCAGCTAGCAATCCCCTAGAAATGTGGAGATTTGTGTGTCATTTGGGAAATGACACAGAGGCACTTGGCCTTTGCAGAAATGCCTTGTGCTCTCTGGAAGGTCACAGGGTTTTCTTGTGATTCCCAGGATAGAGGCACATAGGGAGGGTTCCTGCTCAAACTTGGGTAGAAGGAAGGTCAGACCAATTTTTTGACCCTTCTGGCAGTCAAATAAAATCAAGTCAAATCTGTATTTGTCTGAAGTCAATCTACAGCAAAATCTGTTGTGGAACAGGGAATCTCTCAGCCTTTAACTAGCAGTTCCCCCCTGAGCTGTGCTCCCCACTACAGCTCTAACACATATTCCAAACCTCCCATTCTCAGTTACTTTAGTCTTCTATGGATCTTCTTAGAGGAAATTAACTGAACTTCCCTACAGTGGGAATGGGAAAAGGAAATGAATTGATGATTCCAGTGGTACCCTTGACACAGATCCTGAATAGCTCCATTAAACACTTTGCAGCCCTGGGTGTCTTTGCTAAACCCTCTACAATGAGCACAGAGTCATTTTCCTCCTTACAACACAAACATACAGGTCAGGATTCAGGAGTCTGTTTTGTATCTGAATAATTTCTCTCATCTCAATGGGATCCAGGCAGGCACAAATCAAGGCTGCATAATCCTGGTCCCTCCCTTTCTCTCCAGAGTCATTACCTTGCAGTACCACTCTTGGATAAACTCATTTTCACAGACTCAGCATAGACCCAATGAAATGACTAATACAACTCTTTAATGCAAACAACAATAAATCAACTGATTAAATTCTAATTTATCGGACAAATACTCTTTAGCTCTTCCCAAAGCTGTTCTGAATCATCTCTCTTGTCTGGCCATGCTCCAGAGGAGCACTGACACTAGATAAAGCTCAGACCTGTGGAATAAGTTTACATAAGACAGAAATGCTGAAAACATCCTGTATTTATGACAGGAGATTTCACAGAGATCACAGTGAATAACATTCCTGAGAAGACTGTAATGTCTCTGAAGCCTCCTCAGCATTTCTTCCCAAGACCAGCCTAGAAGGACAAGGGATCACCAGACCCTGGAGCTCCAGGCTCAGCAGCAAGGCTCAGGAAGCAGACACATTAACCTTAGGAGATCCTACAGCAAACTTTAACAGCTGAGAAAATGGCTGCTCCACCACAATTCCACTTTAAATCATAGGCTTTTTAAACTTACTTCATTGGTTTGAACAACGCTTGTCCATAGTTCTGGAATGTCATGATCAGTTTCAGCTGGGTGCCTCCTGATTTCATTGCTGTGGGGGAAAAACACAAAACAGCTTTAAAATGAGACATGTGGATCTACTGACACTCATTTTCCTGGAAACCAAACCATATCTGGTTTTCTCTGTATCAGTTCAGCACTGTGGCATCAGAGTGATCAGGTTCATCCCAGCTGGGCAGTAGATTATTCAGCAGAGCGCAGTGAAGGGCTTTGAGTGCTGACCAGGACTAAACATGGATTGCATTTCCTGACAATTTTTGCCTTTTTCTGGTCACTATGGGCTCCATAAGCACCCCAGATTAACAGTATCCATAGGAGCAGAGAATTGGAAGGGCTTTGAATGCTGACCAGCTCTAAACAGGGATTGTATTTCCTGACAATTTTTGCCTTTTTCTGGCCACCGTGGGCTCCATCAGCACCCCAGATGAACAGCACCCATAGGAGCAGAGAACTGGAATCCTGTTTTCTCCATCTCTTGCTTTTGGAGTCCCTTTTAAGAAGGGATTCACACTGGGAAGGGAGATGGGAGAGGCAGCTGCAGCTGGGATGTACAGCCCAGTGCACAGCAGACAGCTCCTTAATTAAAAGTATGAGCAGACACTGTAGCAATCTCTGATCTCTGCTGTGATTTTAATAACTGTTCCTGAGCAGCAGAGATATGTAAATTCCCCTCCTCTGTGCACAATGGAAATGAAGCCCAGCCACCACCTTCCAGGGATCCCAAGGTGGTTCATACACGAGAGCCTGGCCTGGCTGGGAGGGCACAAGAGGACAGTGAAGGTGACAAGGACAGTGACTTTGCTCATTTCCCAGCTGGGAGATAATGGGAATTTGATACTCATTCATACCATTCTGAAAAACTTGGACAATGCCACAGTAACAGCTGGATTATAGTGTTTTTAAAATTTGGATTTTTTAAATAACATATATAAGAATTCATAAAAATGCATTTTACTTGATGATAAGGCTGCTTAAAAAGGATAAACATAAGCTTCAGAAAACAGCTGCTTTTCTGCTGTCTCAATCACAAGCTTCCTAACAAATGAAGTGACCTATAGCCTGACTCCTAAATGCACCTTTGTGCTGGGGAGGCCAGCAGGGCTGGGTGGATGAGTCAGTCTTTTAAAGATGCTGTCTAGGAATCATCAGATAATCAATCCCTTTCTTTGCAGTTCTGACAAAAGCCATGTCAACTGGAGAACTACATAAATGTCAAGTTATCTTGCTCTGTAAATTCTGGCTGAGGGTTGCCCTTGTTCCACCTATGCAGCTGTACATGTTTTTTCTCTAACCAATGCCATTAGCTGCACATCCTTTTAATTAATCATCTCTGTGCCTTATCACTGATAGGTCATCAGCTCTCTTTCAGCACTTGTAACTTATATTTTTGCAACAAAATGCTATGCAAATCTGGTCAGTGTAATTACACTTCTCCTAGAATAAAATCCCTCCTCTCCTGCTGTTTTGCTGATCCCAGCCTTCTCTTGCCTTTCCACTTTATCCCAAAGGAACAAATAAATAATTAGAAATTAAAGGGCATTAAGCAATTTGCACTGAGCAGGTAAAGCAGAAGCAGAGGGATTTCCTGGATTAAACTCCCTCCCCTGTGCAGGACGGGTCAGTTGAGCTGCACCTGAGGGCAGGAGGAGCACAAGGCATTTTTCATGCCCAGCTCAGGGCCTGAGGACAATGAGAAGCAGAAACTTTCCAGCCCAAACCCTGCCTGTGGTGCCATTTGTGCACTCTGGAAACAGCCCTGGTTAGTGTGGGCAGATGGAGCTAGAAACATGGAATCACACAATGGTCTGGGTTGGAAAGGACCTTAAAATCCACTCTAACCCCCCTGCCACCACAGCAACGCAAAGAAAGAAAAAAAAAGGAAGTTCCAGCACACCCTTCTCTAGGCACAGAGCTTCATATACTCAAAGGACTGGTTTCTCAGCTAATTAAAGCCACTCAACAGATAATGATTTTGTTAGCAGCCAAACTCAACAGCGAGGATGTCATCACCAAGCAGGGAGAAGCATGAAGAAGATTAACAATTCAGAATAATTCTTCCATGAGACACAAAAGCCTGCTTTCCTGTCAGAAGGAACTGAGCTGAAGTAAGACAAAAGCATCTCCCTCATCTTTTTAGATCCATCTTATTGTATTGCCTTAACTGCTTGCACCAGTGGTCTCACCCCAACACAAGTTTTGCTGGCTCCTCTAGTGATGCTTTGGAGCTCTGAAAGCAGAGGGGGACACTGGTGGGGACTGTGTCCCATTGTGCTTTAGGGCAGGGCAGGGTAGGGCAGGGTGGAACCCACATGGAGCATGGAAAATGTCCCAGTGCCAGAGCTGCCCCTTGGCTTCCTCAGTGCCAGAGCTGCCCCTTGGCTTCCCCCATTGCCCAGACTCACTGCCGCTGTTCCCACTTTGTCTGCTCTTCCAGTGTCACATTTGTGCTGGCCAGGCTGGGGCTGAAGCAAGGCCACTCTCCACATCCAAGCTGGATTTTAACATTGTAATCCCTGCAGAGAGGGGAACACCTAAGCCTGGACCATTCCTTTGAGCTGAACAAGACCCTTGCTGTACCTGCACACCTTGCTGTACCTTGCTGTACCTGTAAACTCCAGCCTTGGAGCAGCCCAGGGTGCCCAAATTTTGGGGGTGGGCAATGCCAGACAAGAGAAGATCTCTCTCCACTCCAGGTCAGATCACTTCCCCTGTCCTAATTTAGCATCACATCTGCACACTGGCTCCCCTCTGCTTTTCTGAGCTGTGCTCCTCCCTTTCCTAAACATGTCCCTCTGGCCACTGTGGCCTGTCATCTTCCGGGGGTTTGTCCCAAACAAACATCATTTGCTCATCTGGAGATGTCCTGGTGCCTTTATCTGTTGCCCACAGGCCCATTCCTGAGGAATGCACAGCACCCAGGAGCAGCACATCCCATTGTCCAAGGAGTGCAGGGTGCTGCACCACTGCAGTCTGTCACATCTGTGATCAGCAGCTCCAGGGATTTTTACAAAAGCCTCGCAACACAAGACTGTGCTGGCTCCAAAGGAACCACTAGTCACACTCTAAATTCAACTTTTATTTTTTTTGAAGTATTTTAATATACTGTAACACCATAGGTCACAAACAGCTCTGAAAAGGCTTTATAAACCTGCTAGCTCACAGCAGGTACTTCAAATCAAGTCTCACACAGCTCCTGGATGTACTGGCACACTGCTAAAAACAAATCCCAATGCCATCATTACTTTTCATCTTCAGGCAATTCAAAGCCTCTCTTTTCCCTCCAAATAGAAGGAAATGGAAAGCAGCATTAACCTTTCCTGTTAACCCAGTGTAAGGGCTCTAGGGTGTGATCAGAAATCTTCCTAACTTCAGGAGGCTTTGCAAAAAATTCCCTGAGATATCTTTTTGCTTGAATGTTTGAGATTAGAGTCTTGTCCAAAGATTAGTGAGATTGGGGGGATTCCTTCTGTTTTCTCTGGCAGACTTTGGATCAACCTGCAAAAATCCCCGCTCCATTTCCATTTCTGGCTTTCCAACTCCTCTGCTTTGCTCCATGGCAGCCCTGATGCTACCAGCCTGTCCAAACCACATGGTTTTCTGGTGGAGAGAGAGAGTCCCAACAGGATCTCTGCACTTTTTCTGATTCTTTTGGTCAGCATCCAACAAACGTTTCAAAATGTATTTAATTATGCAGAGCTAATGCCTGAGAGGTGAGATGCAGTCACAGCCTGGGATGCAGTTAACATCTGAAACAGAGGATGCTCAGATCCATTTTGGATTCCTATTTATAGATCAAGCTTAAATCTAACATAAACATGTTGATAGGCTTTAACAAGCAATGCTCTGCCCCAGGCTGGAGACATGGCCCTGTACAAGCTATAAAGAACATATTTAAAAATAAATTCAAGCCCTCATCATCTCTTACTTTGTCCTTGCTCAGCCAATTCTGCTAACTTGGTTTTTTTTTTTTTTTTTTTTTAAAGCTTTTTGGACTTTTAGTGGAGAAAGTAAAAGATTTCTGCAGGGGAAGAGATCTGTGAAATTATTCTACGGCTTTGCTGTACATTTTAAGTCCCCTCCTTTCATCTGGAATTGTACATTAAATCAATCTGTTGACTCTGGCAGATTCATTGTTTCCCTAAGCAGTAAATCAAAGATGCTACATTTCATTGTTTCTCACAAGTTCTCAAAAGCCCTTCTTCCTTTCCTTTGGATGAGATGCTCACGATTTTCTTTAGAGCCAGAATTTATGTTCAATATTTAGAGTCTTGTCATTCCCTTTTCTCTTTTCTTTCCCTTCCTTGAAGCAGAGTCCACCTCAGGTAATTGCAGCTTTTATTCCCAGTGTGAGTAATCTCACACACTTGCTTTCTAATTACTGCCTGCACAAACTGAAGGCATCACAGATTCACAAATTACCTCAGCCAGGTAGTCAGCTCTCTTTACAACCACAGAATTAAAGAATCAAAAAAGAATAAAAAAAAAAAAAAAGTCCTAGCTCCTCAGAGGAATTACAAAGTCTATAAAAATCTCCTCTGGACAGCAAGATCAAGTCCACAGTGCCCCTTCAATGCCCCATGCCAGAGCTGGTGCTAAACTGCTGATAGTGCTGCCACAATTATGCACAGACATCTTGTAAATATGCAAGAAAATAGCTAACTATGGTTATTTATGCATGCAATAAGCAGCTATGAAAGGCAAAGGAAATGTGCAATTGCCTGTGCATGTGCTTCTGAAAGCCAGGCTTCAGTGCTCAGTGGAAAAACAATTCTCTCTAGGCTCCTATTTATGGCAAGAGGAAATTTTCGGTGAATTAAATCAAATTAAGAGCTATCCCTTTATGCTGAACGAAATGAATAGGAAATATGTGTATATATAGATTCAGGGCACAGAAACAATCCCAGCCCAGGCCTGGGTAACCCTGTTCTTTCCCGGGCCAGCTCTAGGTGTCACTGTGGGAGCTGCATGGCATGGCATGGGATGGGATGCTCCCTCCCATCCAGGGATTTGTTCCATTTAAACTTCAACATCAAGGAAATGTCACCTTGGTGCTCCCTGCTCCTGGGAATTGCTCCTGTCACCGTTTTCATTTTAAAATCCCATGGCACACGGCAGAGTGGTGTGAGTGGTGCTGGCAGATGTGGGGGATCAGCCTGCTCCCCACTCCCACCCATAAATAATGCAGGGTGAGCAGAGAAATCACAGCGTGGCCAAGAATGCTGCTCTGCTGCAGTTTGGATCTAATTACTGCAGGTATCAGGCAAATCATCTAATTCTATTAGAGCCAAAGTAAATCTGAACACTGGGAAGAAACTGGATAAAGCTATATCCCATTTCACCTAATGCATGTAACCCTGTATATTTAATTGTCCTGCTTGCTAAAAGGAGCCTGAAGACCAGGCATTATCAAGGTTTCAATTTATTTTATACTCCTAACTTGACATCTTTCCAGCTGCCTTGAAAAGAAAAAAAAAAAACAACCCAGCAAAAATTGACCATAAGGAAAAAACCACCAAGGCTAATTAGAAGATAAGCAGGAATATGCAAAGAATGTAACAGCCCTATAAATGTCCTTTGGTCAAATATATTACTCTTTATTAATCAGCTTACATGCTTTTGAATCCCTCTGCTGCTCTGCAGTAAAGCTGAAAACTGGCAGGAATTACTTTAAAACATGTATTTTTAAACATCCAAAGAATTTGCAACATAAGAGAAGTTGCATTGTGCAAAAAATAATTTAAAAAGCATATTAGCAATATGCTCTTTATGACAAAGCTCCTGGACCCCCACAGGGTCAGGCAGAGTATGCTAACACCAAAACTCAGTGTATGCTAACACCAAAATTCAGATCCTGGCATCTCCATATTGGCGAAAGTCCCCTTCCATTTCCATATACTTGATTTTAGACTGGGATTTATGTGTAGGAATCATTCTCTGTCCGTTCCCATAGTGGCCAACAACACCACCAAATACACCTTGTGGTTTAAGTTATGGAAATTATCCTGATTCATTGCTAGAAACCATGGCTCTGTGTTTTTGTTAGAGGCATAGGAGGCCCTACCATGCTCTTAAGAGCCTTGTTCAAACATTAACAGAGACAATCCCAAAGGGACTTGCTAATAGCAACCATAAATCTTCCTCTGTGCTCCCATGGCCCTATTCCCCCATTGATCAGAAAGCTCCATCAAGATCAGAATTAATGGAAAGCCCATGGTACATCTGTATGACACATTAGGTGAAATCATGGCCCCAGGGAAGCCAATGGCAGAAACCCACTGTCGTCACCAGGGTCAGCATCTCACTCCCATTTTTTATGATAGTAACTCTTTGCTGCTGGGCCAGCTGAAGCAGGGAGAGGTGAAGCCACGTGTCCAGAAGCACAAGTGAACACCAAGTCCAGAAGATCAAATGAAGAGTAAGCACTAAACTACTATTTTTGCTCGTACCTCCCTTTTTTCCAGCTTCCATGTCCCTAATCCACCTCAGCCACCCCCTGCTCTGCAGAATGGACAGACTCCATGGCTTGAGCTCTGCTGAGTTTGCTGCAGACCTCTCCTCCTGCACAGACAGTGCAGCTGAGCTCTGGACTGCTGGGGAGGTGAGCAAAGATCAATACTCAGCAGCCATGTGGTACAAACTGCTGCAGACAGTGCTCTTTGTGCAAACCTCAAGGGATGGCTCTGTTGGCATCACCTCTGCCCTCTGGGGACAGCCTGGGCACTGCTCTGTGTGGGGACAGGGACGGGCACAGGCTGCATCTGTCCCTCCCCAGTGGATGTGCCCAAGGAACAATGTACACTCACATGTTACCAAGGGCTGGCTCAATCCCCATTTGCATGTACCACTAATATTCCAAAAACTGGTGGGTATTGAGGTGCAAGGTCAGGAAAGGTGAGGGCTGTGTCTGGGGGAAAACCACCCAGGTTGTGTCCATACAGTGCCCTCATCACCCTCCAGCGCAGAACAAAAGAGTATGGACAGTCAGCTGCTACCTGCAGTGTCACCTCTGAGCTGGGGAAGGGAAAACACGTAGCTTAATGGGCAAACATGACCCCCTAATGAACCTGATCCAGACTTTTGGAGAGAGAAAACCATCACAGGTTAATAAACAAGCCCATGTTTGTCCTCTTTCCTGAGCTGCAAGTCCACTGGACCCTTGAATCCAGCATGTGGGATGGCACTGGGTACCACAAAGTGCTTTATTCAAAGTGCTGCTGCAGCAGAGCAATGCACTGAGCACAGCCAAGATTCACTGGGATGAAGGTCTCCTGTGGCATCCTGCACTTTACACCTACTCCATCCCAACCAGCTAAATCAGCCCACTGCTGATGACCAAGGATCTCCTTTATTCCTGCTCAGCAGCTGCTGTGATTCACACAATGGAAACTGTAAACCTTAGGGCTGCTTGAGCTATTCTTGCCCAGACCATTTCCTGCTGAAGCCAGGGGAATTTTTGCCTTGCAGGGTTAAAGACCTGCTGACCTCATCCCACGGTGCCAGCACACCATCAGCACTTTCACAGAGCTCCTGCTATTTCATCCCTCTGAAAGGGACTTTGCAACTTTGTGGTCAGCACAAGTAACTCCATTTTCTGCCTGCTGGATGGAAACCACTGCCTGTGCTGCAACTCCCTGCCTCTGGAAACCACGGGGTGTGCACTTGTTTAGTATCCCAGGGCTTTCATCTGAGGTTGTGACATTTCTTCCCCTGTGCAGCTACACAGCTAAATTCAAGAAGACACACGGTGCCATTAAACAACCCTGCAGAAAAGCCCCGAACGGTGTCACCTTGTTTAACCAGAGCCACAGGCTGACATGGGCACATCCCTGTTGAGGATTTAGAGGCAGAGCAAACAGATCTGAGCTCTGCTCATCAGGAGGCTGCCCTGCCTGGAGCTGCCTGCCATGCCTGGGGAAGCTGCAGCTCCTGCAGCCGCAGAGCCCGCGGTGCCACCGCAGCCACTGCAGGGCAGCCTCTCCTCCCCTGGCAAGGCAGGGCTGCCAGCCACAGCCTTTTAAATAATAATAATCAGCCAGAAATACAAATCTAGCTGCTGTCTGCTTCCTGCCATCCCCCCCCCTTTTTTTTTTATTTGTCAGCGTATTTATTTTAAATAACTGAAGAGGGCACTTTCAGCCTGGTCGTGACTAAAGGATCTCTGACACAAATGGGGTTTGCCTTGCTGGCAGACTTGGCAATTATTCAGGTAATACAGAGCTGGAATTATCTCTTTTTGTTTAACAGGGAAAATGAGCAGGGAAGTCGGAAAGCAAAGTTGCAGGGATGCTGGAGAGAAGCCATGCAAAATATTAATACTCAAACAGCAGTGAGATCCGGAACAAAGAGCAAATAATGATAAAAAATAGCATATATCCAAACATACCAACACTGGTTATCTTTTGGGAGACAAGGTCTTGCAGTAAAGCCTCAATTGCAGGATTATGTCTGGAATACAGCTCGTACCGATTAATGCCAATGTGGAATTTTAACCAGTTTGGGTAGGAGTCTATGGAGGTCTCTCCAGTTGGTAAAAATTCTTCATGATGATCTTCATTTTGCCTACCACCAACAAAAAAAAAAAGAAAAAAAAGAACAAGAGAAAAACCCAAAGTTGAGGAGAAAGAAATAATGTTACAGTCTGTAGCACTCATCAAGAAACAGGGCTTCAAAATGTGACAACTTGGAAAGGCAAAGCACTGCAGAAGGGAGAGAGATCCCGGGTTCCTCCCTGCACCAGGAGCCTTCTCTCACCTGGGACCAGTGGGGAGATGGATTCCCACTTCCCCTCATCCTGCCTGACTTAACACCCATGAAAGTCAAAATTCAGAGAGGCATCACTGAGCATTGGCAGAGGCTCTTCCATAGCAGAAACACAGAGCTCAAGTTTTACCTTGTGTTTAGGTTACATTATGCTGCACACAGCTTTTACAGGTCTGACTCAAATATCAGCATCATCCTGAACCTTTATTTAACTGGGGACATGGGGCAGAAAACCAAGATTTCAGCAGAACATGAGCTGTGATGCCCGATGCACCCCTCCCTGCTCCTTCTTAAAGAGGGAGAATGAGAGAAGCTGCATCACTCTGAACTGGCTGCTAAAGAAGAATTGGCTGATCTTGCCCCTTCCTGAGCAGCAGGAACCAACTACAGCAAAGAATTAACTAAAATTATCAGTACCTTCTGAAATTCACTTTGGTTCTGTGAATCTTGGCTGCAGCCACTAAGGAAAATATGTACAACAGGCAGCTGCATTGTGGATATCATGTTGATTTCACTCTTCGCCTACTGAACAGACTAACCCATATTTTGATCCAGAGTTCTCTGTGTTTACAGTCATCTCCAGATGTTCAGGCATTTGTGACTTTTTTTTTTTTGTTTTCTTTCTTTTTCTTTCAGAGAACCCAAAACTTTCCAGGTTATTTCCTTTCACAGTCAGTTAGGATTATTAGATGGAATGGGCCTGGACAATTCACATGCTCATAGGGCGGAAATCAGAATTATTTATCCTCTCTTTCTAAAGGTTTAGATCATGCTGGCTGCTCTGCAGCTTGACAGAGCTTTTGCACGGTACAATGCAGCTGTTTAAACATTACAATGTCAGTGTGCTTGGAAGAGGGTGCTGTTGTATTAGACAACCCTTTTGATTTTTCAGTCATTGAATTTCTCAGCATTTCTTAGGAGCCAACAGGGCATACGATTCACAGAGGCAACTGACTGCTTTGAAGGCTTGAGAGCAGCGGAGGTGCAGGGCACTGGGAATTAATTGAGGATGAAAAATGTAGCCCAGATCAGATCCTGAAAGCGGAAATACCTGCCAGCATGAATGCCTTTGTGGCACTCGAGCCTGCTTTGGACAAAAGTTAATGTATTACTGTCTGGCCTCACTGCTCAGCCCCTTCACCTCTGGGTGGGAGACTGGGAAGGTGCTGGAGAGGAAGGCTCGCTGCGAGCTCACCCTCTTCCTCACACCGTTCTGGCAGCATCTTCCCTGGCTGCAGCTGCAGATGGGGCAGACCGACCCCTTGGCCTCAGAGCTCCAGCGCTGCCGTGCTCCCGTGTTTATTCTGTATTTTGGGGCATTTATTTTCCGAAGGAACAGGACCGGACGAGCATGTGAAGGGTTGCTCTTTTTCCCGGTGACCCCGAAACGCTCTGTGCTTATTCTGTATTTTGGAGCATTTATTTTCCCAAGGAACACAACCAGGCGAGCATGTGAACGGTTGCTATTTTTCCCGGTGACCCCGAAACGCTCCGTTCACCCCTCTGCCCACTTCCTAAAGCCACGACACCCTAAATCCCCCATTCCCACGGAAGGGGGACACGCCACGTCCGCACCCGCGGTCCCACTCACCACTCGGGCTGCTCGGCCGCCCGCGGGTTGAACCTGATGTCGCTGTTGACATTGAAGAGGAGGTCGCCGTCGGCCAGCGGGGGC